AGTATAATGCTACACAAGAGGAACAACTTCAACATGTACAAAACCATATTGGTAGTAGGTTAAAAGGAAATAAATAATAATAATAATATAAAATGAATATTGAATCATAAATAGTAGCAAAATGCAATTCCTTATAATAGTTTGCAACGGGGAAATGTAACATAACTAATAAAAAATATATGAATATATATATAGTAAGTAATTTTAAAACGTTACAAACAGGGAACTAAATAAATAAAACATTTATTTAAGTTTTAAATTTAATAAAAATTTTCAACATAATGTGTTCATTTTTAACCCTTAATAGATGAGCTCCTTACTTTTTTCTTGATAGACTTCATGAACCTGTCGTTTTTCTTGTGGAAGCATCTCCTATATATATTTGTCTCTAATTTTTTACGGACACCAAGGAAATCTATGCAAGGATTCTGCAACTTGGTGAATTTGATTTAGTTAATTGTTTGTTTACAATATAAAGATGGTGCTTTCTGTCGATAAAGTGTAATGGAGAAAATATCTTTTTTTCTGATTCAGAAACAGATCCAATATACATCTAGACATTGAATTTGTGAGAATATCTTGTGGTTTTTGTCTGCAAGGTTGAAACACATGACCAAAAATAAATACTCCTATGAAGTTTTGGCAGCATATTTATAGTTAAACTTGCTTCAGCTATGACTACAACTTTAAACCCTGTTTATTTTTAGTTTATTTTTTCTTTTTTCAGTTTTTATATGTATAGATTAAGAGGGGGCATTTCTCATCAGGATTCTGGTTGTTATTAATTTATTGGAGTTAGAACATGTTTTAGGAGTAGCTTTTCAAAGATATTAACATCTTATGGTGCTTATTCTGATGTTGATACAAAGAGGCGATTTTTAAATATTAGAAACAAGTTCATTTTATATTATTGATATACAATTATCTATTAAAAACATAAGTGTTTACATAGACAAGTTTATTCACTACAATAAAATTGTCATATAGTGACACATACCCTATAATGATACTATAAATGTTATTAAAAATTACTTTTACCGACACAATAACTACAATATGTTAGTATATTATTAAAAAGTGTAGGTATAGACTATAGTGACACACAAAATATATTATTAAATCTCATTCAAAATCAACACTAAAATTGTGTGTAACTATATGTCAAATAGCCATATACCTACATATATTATACTTATAATGATACTTTTTGTATGTCACTATATGTAACATTTCTTGTACCAGTTATTTGGAATCAAATTAAGTTTGTTTTTAGACTTGTATTGAAAACGAGATAGACGACCCGTAATTTCATTAAAAATCTTTAATTAAAGAGGTGTTTATGGGGTTATTGCACTCACCTTTCCTAATGTATGTTTAAATGACACACATCATTAGTTAAAGTGAGATAAAGAAAAAGAATAAAATTCAACTCATATTTTATCAGTTATATACATGTCTATTCTTCATTTTTCAATTACATGCAATGTTCTTACTTCTTTACGAAAATTTCCATCGTTCTTCAATTCTGAAAGTAATAATTTGTTAGCCTATTCTTTTAAATTATTCCTTGAAGTTGATATATTTATTAAATCATAACATGTATGATATTTAGGATATGATTTGGAAGTTAAAATTGAGTAAAAATCAAGCCTCATTTAATTGTTGACACTTATATTAATAATTTGTTCTCTCTTAATATATAGTATATAAATGATGTTATCTTAAGATTGTATGTGTCACTTAGATAAATAAATTAGAAAGATTAGTATTCATTTAAAAACTAAAGGAGAGATATGTCTCATTTAAAAAGATCTAAGGAGAGATTAGTGTGCAACTTTCTTTTAGTTTTAATCTTGCATGGGATCATGCAAACTTGTTCTATTATAAACTTTAAGTTATAAAAAAATGAATTATTAGGTTTTATCTTGGGGGTCTTGGCTCGTATTTTTTTTTTAATTTTATAAATATATATATAATAGTTTATATTTAATGAAATTTACTTAAGAGAATGAAATATTTTATTTTTAATTTATATTTTTTTTTTCTGAAATACTTTTATAGATTTCATTATGAAGATAATAACACAATATAGATTCAATGTCTAAATCTATTGGTTTCATTAAGGAGGTCTCCTTCAATTGGTTGAGCAAAATCAATTGGTTGAACAAAATGTATGAATTATTGTAATTTTTTTAATATTAATTTTGAGTTTGATTTTTACGGATAAAAAAAATTGTATTGGTACTGTTTCAGAATTGGAAAAATGATATTTTCTTTCTTAAATTTCAGCCACAAAAAATAACACAGTAATTTTGAAATAGTTGTATCATTTTCTCTTTTTATCACAATATAATTTATTTTCCTTCGTAATAGTTTTTTTTTTTATCGGTTTTTATTGTTATTTTAAAAGTAATAAACAATTACATTTACAACCAATGACTTTATTAATCTTTCCTTAGTACTAATTTAATTATAAATGATGTGAGACACCCTAACAAATTTTTCTCTTCCTTATCACTTCTTCATATTGTCTTTGTTTTTTTTTTCTTCCTAATATTACCCAAATCAAAAATTGAATTCTCGTTTTCATTAAAGAACACGAGTATTAAACATCTAATGTTAACAACTTTTAGTGATTTAGTAAATTTTTAAAATATAATTAATAGGATTTTTTTTTATTTGACTGAATAGGATTTTTTATTTCTTTCTAAATGCATGTATACGGTAATATAGGTACCAATTTTTATTACAAATTAATGAATTTTTTTTTGTAGCGTATGAAATAAATATTTGACATTAATTTGTAATATTGGCTTTTTAAAAAAAAATTCTTGTTAAATTTGTTTTCTCTATAAATATTTTTTTTTCCATTAACATTTTCATAGATCACTGATGTTATCTCTAGGATCGCCTAATGTAATATTTATGTTTTGATCTGCTTACTAATATGTCCTTATAATTTTGGTTAGGTAGAAGAATGATACAAACATGTGTGCGAATTATATAACTTGTATATGTACTAACATATTTTGATTCATTAAACATATTGGTAAAGATTTGATTATTTTTTTTTGTGTGTGAAGAAAATTTTGTTGAGGGAAACAAAATTGACTTCAGTAATATATATATATGTCAAAGTCTTGAAAGAAGTTAATTTTAGACTATCTGTTAAAACATATCATTTATTGAAAACAAAAAATATAATGATAAAATATTAAGAAATTAAAAATTACAATATGCTTCTTTGATTCAACTTATTGTTGAATTGATTAATTTGAAATATGATATATATTGCTTTGAACCCAATATATTATTATGTTGGTATATTTTTGGTTTCCTTTTAGCTAAGGTTGTGTTCCCTTCAACACATTGGTTCAAATTAACACTTTTTATTAATTAAAATTTATGATTTATTATTATTATTATTATTATTATTATTATTATTATTATTATTATTATTATTATTATTATTATTATTATTATTATTATTATTATTATTATTATTATTATTATTATTATTATTATTATTATTATTATTATTATTATTATTATTATTATTATTATTATTATTATTATTATTATTATTATTATTATTATTATTATTATTATTATTATTATTATTATTATTATTATTATTATTATTATTATTATTATTATTATTATTATTATTATTATTATTATTATTATTATTATTATTATTATTATTATTATTATTATTATTATTATTATTATTATTATTATTATTATTATTATTATTATTATTATTATTATTATTATTATTATTATTATTAGCTTTAGTTAGTATGCTGGTTTCCTTTAAAAGTTGAAGTTATGTTAACAATATATACTCTAAAACACTCATTCCAATACTCTTTAATACTAATTGAAAATTATTAGAAATTACAAAATTAAAAAAGCTCGTTGGATAAAAAAATGAAATCCATAAAAATAATTAGCGATTTTGAATAAGTTTTATCTAATAAAATTTTATCTAATAAGAGTGTGTTTAGGGTTTTGCTACAGGCCATATGTACCTCTGCGTTTTTTTCCAGGTTCATGTTGACTATTGAAGCATGCTAGCAAGAGGACATGATGTTGATCCTAATAAATTAATACCAACATAAACATGAATTATTCTTTAAGCGTAGAAAAGTATAAAATGTGGTAAATAATCCAAATGAGGTACTGTGGGATCAAGCATGAACTGACAACAAAATGTAGCAGGATGGGGGAAAGAAAATAAAAGTCAACAGCTCCTAAAATCCTTCAGAAGGCACCCCAACTTCTGGCAAAATTCTTTATGCACTAGACATGGTCATTAGTGGCTCATAGGGGTGATATTTTGTCCACCACATGCTTTATTTTAAGATCAAGAAAAAGACCACATTATAAAGCAAAGATGGTAGTAAAAAAAAAGGCTCCTCAAATCCTTCATAAGGCACATTGACCAACTGTACCACATTATAATGATATTTGCACTACATTTTTGTCTCGATAAAATTAGGAAATTTGGATTTTGACTGTTGTAAAAAGATATAATCATCTCTTAAAATTTTAAGATCATCAACTTTTATTTATATTATTATGTAATTTTGTTAAATACGTATGATTTAATATATATATATATAGTCAAATAATTATCTCAATTCAAATAATATTTATTAGTCTTTGTAGTTCTACATCAATATTTTGATACTTCAAAAATAAAATTTCTAAATTTTAAAATAAATATTATTTATATATCTTGAAATAAATATTAAAAATCAAGTGGAATAAACATTAAAAAACCCTAGACAAGTTATTTCATATTCAGATCTTGGAGAGATTAAAATTTACTCATTTCATTTCATGTAAGCAAATTTTGGGTAAGTGAGGTAAAATCCTCTATCTTGTTCCCCTTATAAATAATAAAGAGATTCTGATGCATATTTGCTTCAGTCTGAAAATGAAGATTTCATATGTGATGTTGTGCATCATTATGGTTAGTCTATTTCCGGTAGAAGCAGTAGAGGTGGCAGAAGCGCCGGTGGCAGAAGCGCCGGTGGCAGAGAGTTGTAACGTAATGGAGTTGGTTCCATGTGCTGATGCCTTCACCTCCATAACTCCACCTTCACCAGAGTGTTGCCAAAGACTTAAGGAGCAACCACCACCATGCATTTGCCTGTATATGAATGACCCAACCCTCAAAGGTTTCATCAACACTCCCAATGCCAAGATGGTTAGTGACACTTGTGGCTCCCCAATGCCAAACAATTGCTAACTTTATAGATATATAAAGAGAGTATAGATATATTGAGAAAATATGTTTTTACTTCCTATATTTTCAGTCAAATGAGATTAAGATTATGTACCTTTTGTATTGAGGAATCTGGTTCTCAAACTCTGAAATGTATGTGAACTTATTTCCTTATAACTTTTAAAAAAACATGATGAATTTGTTAAGAGAAAAGACTAAATCCAAGCATTTTTTAAGTTTGAGGACAAATTTATTGATATAAAAATATATGAACCTTTGATTTCATTTGACCCAAAATATTTTCTACAATTGTGTCTGGTGGTGTTCTTATTAAACAATTGTGTCTAGTGGCAAGTGCAGTTGATGGCCCTCTTACTCTTGGGGCATGCACTTTCTGTCTTGGATGATGAAGGTTATGATGATGATTCATCTAAGTTTTACTTTATAATTGGTTTAAATTTCTTTTAATGGATCCAATTTCTAATACAGTCCTGATTTCAAAGGTAATGCATGGATATTTTTTTAATTTTTAAAAGTAATGCAATTATGCAAGCCAGCAAAATTAACTCATCATTTTCTCCTGCTTTTGAAATTTGAGAAACTATATCACTGGGATTAGTTTCGAGAGGGAAAGTTTCTCAATAGTTTCACGACTGGATACGAACAAAGTATTTTGTCCAAAATAGGACCACTGACAATATCATTATTCTCAACTTTGCTTTGAAAACCCAAAAATCGATCATCTGATTGGTTTAATTAAACCACAAAATCGACATGACAAAAATCTAATGAAAGAACTAAAATATCAGTTAAGAAATTGTAAAAAATGAAGAAAAAAAAAGGGTAAAAACCAGTTAAAAATCAGTTCGCAATAGAAAGATTTTTTTAAAAAACATTTTTTTCATTTTTTTCTTAAAAACATAATATCAACAATAAGTATTTGTTATTTTATTTATTATTCTAAATATAAACTTGTTATTGTTAATATATATTGATGTATAAAAAAATTATAATAATAAAAAAATATATTAGCTCAACAAAACCTAAATATAGCAAAGCTAATGTTTTGTGGCCCAGAGCAATAAACTTGGACACTATCTTTAAAAGAATATTCCATCTTGAACTCAATTATTTCTTATTTAATGTAAACCAGTATCTAAATCTTTACAATGCATGGAATGTTTATTTTATATAGCTATAATTTATAAAAATAAACAATTTAAGTTATAATATGTATATATTTTTTAACATTAATTATATTTCAGGTTTACGATAAATTATATTGTAGTACAAAAATATTTTTAACTATTGATATTTTTTTGAAAAATATTTAAATCTCATTTAAAAGTTAAAACAGGTTAAAAAATATTTTTGTAATAAAAAATAGAAATGCTAGCATAAGTGATCCTAAATAAGTTTAGCACCACATTCTGTTGAAAAAAAAATCTTTAAAAACACTCCCGTTTAAGAAATAAATTAAAAAAACTCTTGTAAAGTGAAAACACCTAAATAGTTATTCTAAATTATATATAGAAAATATTTTTATAACTTTAAACATAGTTTTTCTTTTTTTGGGAAGAAAGATGACTTTGATCCATTTATTTCAATTAAGTCATCTAAACATCGTCTAGCAACAAATCTACTGGAAGTTAAACACAATGAACTTTGAATCAACAAATCTACTCGCCCTTCGCCACTCGTGAGAATCAACATCACATTCTTGAGAATCAATAATGCTAAAAAAATTATTTTGAAAATTCGTGCCAAACACGAAAGTGTCATATTAAGTGAACTTTCTGACTAATAACTTTATAAATCTGAAAACAATCACTAAATGAATGCAATTCTTTGCTACGTGAATACTACTATGCAGCAGCTCTTCCATGGAGATTTTCCGGAAGTAACAAACTTAATATACCTTGATTGCAAAACACCGTAACACACATAACACAAGGTGAAGAGCAAAACCAAGTAAAAACCAGCATGTTCAAAGGTATTTAAAGACGAGAGCAGCTATTCGACGATGAGACATAGAAGGAAAAGTAAATGTTTAATAATCAGTAGGGTAACAAAAATTTAGGAGAAAAAAGGAATGAGGAAAATTTACATGTTAGCCCCTGCAGAAATATTAAATATTTCCCCCATCCTCTGATAAAATCCCACAATGGTAAAGTGGGTCACAAAAAAGAGTTAACTATACCTTGTATACAAAACCCAACCCCAACATGTTATGTACCAAATGACCTCTCAAGACGAGTTTAAATCACTATTCAAGGCTATGCCCACCCCCATCCACTCAGCTAAAAAGTTATGGATTTCAACAGAGACAGCTTCTCTGCTTTCCTTGTTACCTTCAGAACGCTTCAAGTGCAGCTGGCATACGGTACTGTAAAATTGACTCATTGAGATGAAACATACTAGTCATTGATTTTTACTGGCTTCTCATACGCATGACGATTCTGAAAAATCAAGAAATAATCATTGTAGGTTTCTGAAACCCGCAATTATATAAATTCCAGTGAGATTACAACAATCTATATTTACTTTTGCCAGTATCATTTTTGTTTTAAATTGCAGTGCCCCAAGTACATCCCCCCACTCAATTATTTTACAGAGGTGAAGAACATATATCCAATGGTAGAACCCATTTTGCATTCTTAATGTACATTTTATGGAGATTCAAGAACCTTTTTATATTTTGCTCCAATGAAAGAACTTAAGTTAGGTTCTTAATTAACTTTATGTGGGTTCTGCAATAAATCCACTTTCTTCCTTTTTAGCTGTATAAACTCAGTTCTTGAAAGTTCTTGTTCACACGGCGTGAATGACTCATAAGACTGATCCAGTAGTAAATCCACCTCTGGAATATTGTTTGGGAGATTTTATGGTACCATATTGTTTAAATTTTAAAATTTATGCAATTGTAAGAAATTTCCTCCAGTGACTCATCATCCACCACGTGATATACCTATTTCAAGATAAGGCACATAAACCCACCTACATCCCATTCCTCAAAGGAATGAGAAGCTAGTTTCATGATAATATTATACCTGATTGGCTGCAAACGACCTTCTTGGAGTATTGTCAGTGTGTTCCAGTCCAAGGTATTGCTCCCATGCACCGTAGACATCCCTTCTCTAAACAATAAAACAGTATTTTAACTTAATTTTGTATAAAAGGAACATTTTGATTCTGAATTCCATGGACAGATTCAAACTCAAAAAAACCAGTCAATCACAACCTAAAGGTAAAAATAACAGGGGAGAGAGAAGATTGACAGACCTGAAACCGAGTGGAAACAATATCTATATCTTGAAGGTACTCAGGACGACCAAATGACACAAATGCAAAGTTCCACTGAAAGAACCAAGCAAGAGGGACGAAAATCATTAATCACCATAGTGAAGCTAAAATACATTATAACCATCATAGAGATGCTAAAATGTTCCCACCCAAAAGATTTTGGTCAAATGACTGAAATGCAATATCGAAACAATTTTATGAAGACTTCTAAAATTCAATTACTTGACAATATATGTATTCATATGAACCTGTCTTATTATATTAGATGAAATATAAAGTATTTAATACACACAGATCGCTATGCATCATAATTTATTGTGTTAGCAAATAATAATTTAAATTATATTTATACCTATTTGACAAAACCACAATAAGGTTTCAGAATAAGTAACATGCTTCAGTATCACAAAGCAAAATGACTACCCACCCTTAGAATTTAAGCTCAAACATTGTAAAGACAGAAGTCTTTCAAGTTCAACCAAACAAAACTAGAAGAAATTAATAGTCCATTTAATGTGACTAACTACATGCCCATAACTGCAACAAAATGCCTAAAAGCAGAACACAATTCAATCAGATTAGCAATATTTACCTTTGAAAACTCATCATCTGGGACCTGCAGCTTTTTCTGTATTCGCAATTTGACTTCAGCTAATGTCTCACCCTCGTGGATAGCCAATAAAAAAGGATGTCCAAAGTTCTGAACTTGCTGTTATTTTCGAAGCACACCAACACAAAAAAAAAAAATGCAAATGTTAGAAAATTTTATAAAAAGATGGGTTAAACATCTTTTTTGTCCTCGTAAATATGTAAAAGTTTGTTTAGGATCCCATTTTTAAAACGTTAACTTTTGGTCCTCTCTTTTTAAAATGTGTCAAAATTCATTTCCGCCACTAACTCTACTAATCCAATTTAACAATGATGCCTAGTCAATAGCAAACATGTCATCAAACACTGTTAGTCCCGTAAGTCTTAGTTTTACAAAACCTATAGATGTCAAATACTAGATTAACAAAAATAATGACAAAGATAAACTTTAACATATTTTTTAAAAAGGGAGGACCAAAAGTTGATGTTTTAAATGAGGGGCTAAAACAACCTTTTGCATATTTATGGGAATAAAAAAGATGTTTAACCAAAAAAAAAAAATTATATTTAACAAAGTTGGGGGCAAAGCACCTGATTTTCAGTATTGTCTTTCAAGAAATGATAAACATGGATCAATCGATCATGAGGGCCAAGGTTTTTCTCTTCTTCAGGAATCTGCAGCAAAAAAAAATTGAGAATAAAAGTTGTAAAATGAAGAATAATGTGCTAGGAAAAAAGGAATACCACCATATCAAGACAGAAAATGACATTGATGATAAATGGTGAGGAAAATTCGGAACTGCCAAAATGGGAAGGGCTACGATGGCAGAATTCATATCTTCAAATGCTAACAGATCTTGTTTCCCCTATGAAAAAGTCCTTTTTTGACAAATTTGTCAGGGGATTGACAATTTTGCCATTTTCCCAAACAAATATTCTGTAGTAATGAGTGAAGCCAAATATAGGAATCCAGCCAAGCTCCTGAGATCTTTAGAACACAGCCTCCACTTTCACTGGGTAAGCTGCGCTAATCCTTCCTATGATAAGACATGCCCCAAATAGGATGTTTGAGCAAAACTGCATTTTTTTTCCTAGTCACCCTTGGGTGATTTTATTGCAATACTTGCTAAATTTGCTGCATATCAGTAACCCAATTCCTACTGTTGATCAAAATATAATCAAAGAAGACAAAGGTAAACTTCTCCAAAACAGGGTTTAAGTACTTCATGCAGTCAACAAAGCTTGAAAGTTTGATGGGGCATTTGTCAAGGGTGTGACCAGGAATCCATAATGTCCCTCAAGTATCCAAAATTGTTTCTCAATGTCTTCCTCCCTCATTCGAATCTAGTGGTATCTAGATTAGTAAAAGCCTTATGCTGGAAAGCCATTTTAATTGAATTTGCCCCTAGCTTGTCCTAGTTGCGGTCTCTTTTGGGGCTGCTTTAGTATTTCAATCAAGTCATTACTCCTTGTCAGAAAGAGGGAATAATTCATGAGTCTACTTATATCCGAACACCTCAACAAAATACAATTGCAAAAAGAAAAAATAGGCACCACTTAGACTAAATCCGAGCACTATTGTTTCAAAAAAATGTTCCAAAAGGTTTTTTGGGGGGAAGTTGTTTTCACAACAAATCTTATTAGTCAATACCCTATAGAAAATTTTGAATTTAAGAGTCCAATGGATATAGTTTCCTCTTTCTATCCTATCTTGTTCATTTCCATCAAATGTGTCTCTTGTCCACATGCATGGTCAAGACAAGGGAAAACTGGATCCTAGGGCTTTGAAGTGTCTTTGTTGCGTACTCCTATACCCTAAAAGGGAATAAGTATTACCATCCTCCATCTAAGAAATTCTGTCTCAGGATGTCACGTTTCATGAGGAACAAAATTATATCTCTCAACATTATCTTTTGGGGAGAGTCTTGGGAAGATAAAAAGATTTATTTTGAAACACATCTTTCCTGCTCTTGAGGTAAATTCTCATCATCCTAAAAAAGATGCATCAACTCCAATTGAGTTTAATAAAGATGTTCCAACCAGACCTAAAAGAATTTGATTTACACAAAAAGATCAGAGATCATTCCTGAATCAGCACATGCCCAAAAGAGACTAACCCACTTCTTTGGATCCTGTAACAAGTCATGATTTAAAAATTTTACAGGATAATCTTTTACCTTCACCAAGTGAAACAAAAATCCCAAACCTTGATGGTGACCCTTTTCTTCTAATTTCCTTTAGAAAAGGAACCGAAAAATGTACCCAAGAGTTACTTTATCCTCTCTCAAATTAACTCTTATTTCACAGTTTCTCCAACCCATAAATCCTTTCTTGCTAACCTAAACTCAGTTTCAATTCCCAATAATGTTTGAGGCGTTATATGATAAAAATTGGAAGCAGGCCATAGAAATAGGATTTAGGGCATTGAAGAAGAACAAAGAGGGAGTTAGTTTCTTTGCCAAAAGGAAAGAAGTCAGTTGGTTTATATGATTATATACAATACAAGGTAGACAGGTCGATTGAGAGATACCAGGTGAGGTCGGTAGACAAGAGTTTCACTCAAACCTATGAGATTACAGAGACCTTTGCTCCAATTGCAAAGATAAATATAGTTCAACTAATATTGTCTCATTGCAAATTTTGGCTAGGAATTACAACAATTTGATGTGAAAAATGTTTTTTTACATGGGGAGCTTGAGGAGGAAATATATGGAGGTCTCCCAAGATATGAAGTTGCCACCAATTCTGTTTGCATGTTAAAAAAAAGGCTTTGTAGGGGTTGAAACAATCCCCCTCAGGCATGGTTTGGGAGATTTACCAAGGTCATGCTAGCCTTAGGATTCAGACAAAGTTAAGAAGACCATTATTTATCAAACACAATCTCATGGGATATGACTATATTGTTAGTGTATGTTGATGATATTATTGTTACTAGTCATCATTGGAAGGAGCAACAAGTATTAATTCAGCATCTAACTAGGAGTTTGAGATAAAAACTATTGCAAGGCTGACATATTCTTTGAGAATTGAAGTCAATCAAAGAAAGGCATTTTCATATGTCAACAAAAATGTCATAAATTTGCTCAAGGAGACAAGTAATGCAACTTTTAAACCTATAGGTACTCGCACTAATTACAACCTTAAATTGGGTAATGCAAATGATAGTGTAGTGGTGGATAAGGAGATTTATCAACGCTTTGTTGGAAAATTAATCTATTTGTCTCACATGAGGCCAAATAATGCACATATGTAATTTAGTTAGTCAATTTATGCACAGTCCAAAAGAAGTCCCCTTACAAGCCACTTGGAGAAAATTTGCAGTACCTTAAAGGAACCCATGTAGAGGAAATTTTGTTTAAAAGAAATGGGAGTGCATTTCTTGAGGCTTATTTTCATGTTGATTATGCAAGTCCAAATGAATGAATACTGTACTACTGGATATTGTACATTTCTTGGAGGAAATTGAGTAACATTCAAACTTGAACATGTAATTCTTCTTTGTGGTATACAGGTGGTTAATTATGGATCCATTTGATTCACTAAAATTCATAGTACAGTACATGACAAAAATAAATTTTCCACTGTTGATTTACAAAAAGGTCATGAGATAGGATAAAAAAGAGGATGAGGGACAGAATAAAAGTCCTACTTTTTGTTACTCAAGAAACCAATGGACAACTTTTTGTTCTAAGTACAAAAACACTTACTATCATGTTATTGTGCCATTACTACCCCACCCCTTACCCATTGCTGTCTACCACCACTATCGCCTACCACCAGTCGTAGACCTCTCGTCACCCACCACCACCCTTTCTCTATCGCCCAAGGTAGTCAAAAATCTAGATTCTAGTTAGACCCAGAAAAGAGTCACATAATTGTATATTGTGGAATCGTAACATGAAACATAAGATTCCACAAGGTTTATAAAATCCAAATATATGCATCTAACATAATATAAACAAGAGGAAAAAAACTATCATAGCACATGTAATATACTTAATTAAGTTTAAAATCATAATCATATATTCATAAGCATAATAAAGTCAATAGCTAAACTCCATATAGAACTGAAATGAGGAACATGACATAATAAAATATTGCACTGCAGTAGCAAAACAACTTGAAACACCTAGTTTAGACCTCTAAGTCTCCATCTAACACTCAAATATATAAGAGATAGAAAATCAATAAGAAACAGAGAAACATATAACCTCTCATACTTAGAGTGAGGTTTCTCACTAGACGATGAATACAAATCTCCAAGGTGATTTTCCTTAAACTCTAGTTTTCCCAAGTCTTTAGAGTATAAATGCACAATAAAAGAAACAATGAGAAGCATGAATAAGGAAACTGACCTTAACCTCTTTCTAAACTCAATTCCCTTCTAACCCACAAGTTAAAACAATTAACTATATGATTACAAAAAATATTTCTCTCAATTAATAATAAATAATTAATAAAACACTTAATTACAAAACTTTATAATATATATATATACGGAGTGTTGAAACGAATTTTGAGTTCTTGAAGAAGGGACTGAATCCACAAGACTTCAGTGACAGCTTGAGCTAAGGCACGATATTCAGCCTCAGTACTCGATCTGGCAACAAGCAACTGTTTCTTGGACCACCACGACACAAGATTAGGCCCAAGATAAATACAGGCTGCCGAGGTAGAACGTCGATCATTGGGATCAGCAGCCCAATCAGCATCAGTAAAGGCAGTAAGGTTGAAGGAAGAGGAGGACCGAGCAGGCGTGAACACAAGACCATGTTTGAGAGTGCCTTTGAGATATCTTAGAATCCTTTTAACTACCTTCCAGTGTTCTTCCATAGGGGAACACATGAACTGACTTACCTTATTGACACTAAAGGCAATTTCAGGCCGTGTAATGGTTGCATATTGCAGTGCACCAACTACAGACCTATACAAGGTAGGATCATTAAACAGAGTTCCGGTTTTGGCAAGTTGTTGACCTCCAATCATAGGAGTGGAGATGCCCTTAGAGTCTTCCATTTTAACCTTGGTGAGAAGATCAGAAATATATTTATGCTGAGACAACAGTAACCGGCCATTAGAAAGAGACTTGACTTCAATACCCAAGAAGTAGTCAAGTGTGCCAAGATCTTTGAGAGAGAAGGTGGCATGAAGGTGATTAATAAATTGTTGCATTAAGGAGGAGGAATTGCCAGTGAGGATGATATCATCCACATAAATGAGCATGTAGACAATGGCAGAGGGAGTAGAGAAAATAAACAAACTAGGATCACACTTGCTTTTGTGAAACCCAAGCTTGAGCAAAACCGAAGTCAACCTGTCAAACCAGGCACGAGGGGCCTGTTTGAGACCATAAAGGGACTTGTGGAGTTTACAGACAAGATGTTTGCTATTGGGTTCAATAAAGCCAGGCGGCTGAGACATGTAAATGTCTTCCTCAAGCATTCCATTTAGGAATGCATTATTAATGTCAAGTTGGCGAAGTGGCCATTGAAAGGTTACAGCAAGAGAGAGCACAATCCGGATGGTGACAGGCTTGACAACAGGAGAAAAAGTTTCAGAGAAATCAACACCCGGTTGCTGATGGAAACCCTTGGCAACAAGTCGGGCTTTGTACTTGTTGATAGAGCCATCAGGATTTTCTTTAAGACGAAAAACCCACTTACAACCAATGGATTTTCTACCAGGAGGTAAATCAACTAAAGTCCAGGTGTGATTGTCATGTAAGGCCGTGAGTTCAGCTTGCATGGCAGAGAGCCAATGAGGATCCGTGAGAGCAGACTTGACAGTTTTGGGTTCAACATTAGACAGCAAGAGGGTGGGGTTAAGTCGAGGTTGTAGAATGCCATTTTTTGAGCGAGTGATCATGGGATGAATATTAAGAGGAGGAGCAGAGAGTGAAGGTGATGAGGATGAAGCCGGAGGAGAATTTGTAGAACTGTTGTCAGGCATGGAGGGGAGAGAGAAATTGGATTCAGAGGATCCAGAATTGGTGGGAACAGTAGGTGATACAAGGGTAGAGGAAGATGGATTGTGGGAGCAGACAAGGGAGGGAAGTGTGGAAACAGAGGTGGCAGGGATAGAATCAGAAGTTGCGGTAACAAAGAGATCATGATAAGGAAATCTCCCTTCATTGAAGATCACATCCTTGCTGATGTATATACGGCCAGATTTGCTTAAACATTTGTAGCCTTTATGAAGAGGAGAATATCCCAAGAATACACATTCTTCAGACCTAGGTTGAAGCTTGTGTTGATTGTAAGGTCTTAATAAGGGAAAACAAGAGCAACCAAAGACTTTTAGAAATGTATATTAAAGCCAGCTTGGCAGGCAAAAGTATATTAAAATAATAGTAATAAAAAAATATTAAAATATTTGTCGCTCCTAAAGTATATTAAAATAGATCATCTATTCATCTCTGAAGCTCCGAATGGCAAAAAATATTTGTCAACATAAAACTGAAATTGAGTAACAAGGTAGAAAAATTTCCATTATACTAATATAGATTATTAAAATCTAATAAGATATATTATGTAGCAAATCATTCCTTTTTCAATTATTTTGTTGTCACTGGCTTTTTTACTTTATTAATACTAAAAATGTAAGATTTATTAAATTATAAAAAGAAATACAATCTCCAAATGTGGTGGAGGACACAGATCTATGCAGAGGAGTAGTAGTTTGGAGAACAGTTGAAGTTGAAGAAGGCTGGGGCAAAAGGTTGAAGTCAAAGAAGTCCAAGACAGTTTTCAGGAGGCTGGGATGGCGTTGGATTTAGGTCTAAAATTCGACAAGCTTAAGTTTTTAAAAGCCCAAAACAACAATAATAGTAATAAAAAAAACCCAAGTTAAAAATGTGAAAAATAACTGGCACTGAAATCCCAAAACACATCTAGTCTACCGTTTTTATGCTTCAGCATGGTGATTTTATCGATTCCACCCTGGAACGTTTCTGATCATGTTTGAACTCACCCAAACATGTCAGAAGTGTAGAATCTCAAGGCATCTCGCAATTCTAACTACCTTGCTATCGCCGTCTTTGTTGCCACCAGTCTACCACTACCACCATTGTTATTAGTTATCACAATTTTTGCCACAATCACCCCCATTAAGATGATGATGGTAATAATAATAATTAGTTATGATAATTAATATTAAAATATATTATAATAAATTTCATATTATTTTATTTGTGTTGTTCATTATTCACCATTCAATGAACAGAACAAAAAATGGTCCAATAACTTGAACATTTGTCTTGTGTGTTGCTCTCCTTGTTTTGTACCTTAATGTTTATCAAACACATCCTATACATGTAACAAAATACTAATTGATAACAACTTATCCAAACTATTAAACATTTGTATTATTATAAAACAGCATACATATAAATCTGTTGGAAATAGGAACAATTTAGGAGATAAGAACTCCTTTGATGCTTATTTTTCCCAAGTTACCTAGATACTTGGTATAGCTGGATTTAAGCATCATAGGAAGTAGTGCTATCTTAATTGTTCTCTTGTAAATTGTTTTGGCATTATTTATCTTTGAAATTTACTTGAATATAAATAAATCCATTCTGTTGGGTGTAATCATCACTCAAGCATATTCAGAAAATATTGTCTCTTTTTAACAAAATCCTTACCTCTTCAGCTCTTAGCGTCCAATATTGATCATTAATACTCTCAATCTTTTCAGTTATGCGGAAAATCTGCAAAAAACATATCACAAGATTATGAATGAATTACCCAAAATTTGGAACATTTTCTCATTGTTAAGAAAGGAAGAAAACAGCAGCATATAACATAAATATTATTGAAATAGATATGAAGTTAAGCAGGTTGAAATGCCTAAATTAAAAGGCTACCATTAGGAATGTATATTTTGTCTGTGTTGAAATAAGAAAGATAGACCTTAAAAATTCAATATTAAATGAGACAGTTAGATCAAGCTAGGTTTATATTTGATGTAGGTCATTCAGACTTTCACATACCTAGCATTTGGTCTACAAGGATGCCTTTACATCCAGCTTCAACAACTTTCTCTATGGGATTCATGTAGACCTGTACTATGTTTCCTTTTTCGATGCCTTTAGTCACTTTACATGGATTTATTTCATTAAAAATAAATCACTCCATGGTTGAACCATGACTTAATAAGAAAGCCAATTCTGTACAATCTGACTGTGGTGGAGAATTTAAGTCATTCAAACAGTATTTATAGTCTTTTGAGAATCACTTGTCTTCATATATGTCCCCACACACCATCAAAATGGTGCAGTAGAGCAAAATCACCAGGATATTGTTGAAATGGGGTTAACACTGGCGTCACAAACATCCTTACCTATTTCTCTTATTGGGATCATAATTTTCAGACTGCCTCCTACAATTAATTGACTACCCGCAGCTCACAATAATTATGCTATTACCTTTTAGACTGTTTCATGATTCCCTGATTATTTCCTTCTTCAAAGTGATTGGGAGTGCCTGATTTCTGTTACTAATACCTTATAACTCTTATAAGTTGCAGTTTCACTATTCTGAATGCATCTTCTTGGGTTACTCTCCCTCTCACAAGGGATACAACTTTCATCTCTAAGGATGTATTATTCAATGAACGCAAATTCCCCTCACTCAAATCAACTCCAACCACTGCCTCTTCTTCCTCACCTCCCTTCCGTCTTCTACTGCATTACTTTCTCCACCTTCAACTGTACAGTAAGCTGCACCACTGTCTTCCTCCTTATCTACGTCTCTTCCTTCCTCTGCCTCCAACACCGTTAATTCTGACTTTAATTCTGTCTTCCCGTTTTCATTACAGTCTCCACCTCCTAGAAATACTCATGCTATGCAAACTAGGTCCAGAACAGGTGTCCTTAAACCTAGATAACAGCCCACCTTATTGATCACTACTGCTGAACCTCAATAAGACCTTGTCCTCCCCTCCTTGGTAGCTAACCATGCAGCTTGAATACCGTAAAAGATATGATTAGATATCTTTAAATAGAGTAACTATGTATAGCTTATCTTTAGGGCTGATTTTTACAGATTTTTCTCTGTTATTTCCCTAGTTCCCTAATTATTGTATTCCTCTTGACTATAAATAAATCAGTTTGGCGTGAGGAAGAACACAATTCCTGCAATTCCTATAAATACGATGCACTTTTGGCCAATCAAAATTGGTCTTTCGTGCCTTTCCCACCTAGAAGGTCTGGTATTGGGTGTGAATGGGTATTTATTTTTAACCAAGGAAAACCCAAATGGGACTGTCAATAAATATAAGGCTTGCCTTGTATCAAAGGGCTTTTTTCATCAAAAATATGGTTGTGATTATCCCAAGGCTTTTTCTCTGCAGTTAATGAACTGCCTCTCATTCCTGTACTGTACCACAAATATCTGATCTGCCTAATTAGAAATTTAGATAATAAAATATCAAATACACTTTATCTCGCAGTTCTTAGTTTCTCTGGTTTCTTCAACTCAGTATGTTCTCTTTCTACAATATTTTAAATATTGGAACTACTTTAAACAACTATGATTATGTTATTTGAATTATCTTTGTAAGTTTCTTCTACAAACTAGCTGTATCACTTCAATAATGAGATTGCATCACCCGATCATCTGCTCACATCTTCAATAATATTATATGAACCCACCAGTAAGAGAAATTATGTTTACAACTAATATGCTACTATGAATGTCTGAAAGAGAATTTAAAAAACTTAAAGGTTAGAGATCATGTTACATTCTCTGCACCTTATAGATCTTGTGATAGAAAACTTCAAGCAATCTAAGTTCTGCATCAGGATGTGATAAATCTCCCTGTATCACAAAAACAAAAACATGAGTCTACATATTTCCCATAAGGAAAACATGACAACTGTATTGCAGACACTACCAGTTTACCACCAATATGCATCCCAAAACCATGTCATTTTTTACAGGTAAAAGTTATATTAGCATTCCAAAGAAAAGATGGAGGATAAGGATTACGGAATCCACAGACCAGAAAAGAAAACCACAACAAATACAATAGAAACAGCAATGCTATAAATTCTTAAAATATCTCTCCAATCTCTTTGCATATCTAAAATATTTATCACCTGAAACCTATGATGCACGGATACGATACGCGTATCGGATACGATACGTATCCGATACGGCGATACGTCAAATTTTAAAAATATAGGATACGATACGTTTAGGATACGTAATAAAAAATAAATAAATTAATATATATAAAATAATAATTGTAAATAAATATTATTCAAAAATTAAATAAAAGTACAAATAAATTATAAAATTAATATGCTACTATTTTTTATATTTTTAAATAAATTATAAAATTAAATAAAGGTACAAATAACACAGTAAAATATAAAAAAAAGAAAAAATGAAATGGCAATAGACTCAAAAATATTTGCTTTGATTTTAATTTTTTTAATATTATATACACCTTTTAATTAATATTTAAATATTTAACTTATTTTAATATTATATTTTAATATTATTTTATCAAAAAGCATGAAGCATGACCGTAAAATATACGCATCAGATAAATTTTCTCCCCCAAAAGCGTAAAGCCTCCCCCCCTCCCCCCACACAGGAACAAAGTCGAGACCAGAGCCCCCCCCCCAACAGAGGAACAAAGTTGAGACCAGAAAAAAAAAAAAGTCGAGACCAGAGCCTTAGGTTTCCATCTCGCTATGCATGACCGGAACTGGGTCTGGTGTGCGGTTGTCTTCTGAGTCGGACTCGGTGTCTAAACGCAGCAAATCCTATGGAATGCAAAGTATCTCCCTCTCAAATTTGTATTTTCCTCCTATTTTATAGTTGATTTCCGAATATTTTTGTTTTGGGAACAAATCTGAATTTTTTTTTTTTTAATAAAATCAGTGTGGATACGGATAAGATACGTATCCTTCACGTATCAAAACGTATCCGTATCGGATACGTATCCGATACGGATACGGGATCTATTTTCACGTATCCGTGCTTCAGAGCCTGAAACAAACCACAAGCATTCCTTCCAACCACAGAATCCCATTAACTGCAAAATGCAAAAGGTCTTTTTTTTTTTTTCCCCATCACCAAATCCTTGAAAACGAATATGAAGAAACCGATCAAACAACAAAGACAAACCGATCTTTCAAGAAATCGGGTTTTTATTTTTTATTTTTCATGCACAATAGCAGCAATGGGGACAGATTCTACTACCTCATGCAAACTACCCAAATCTCTCAACACTACACAGACCCTAGTGGCTTCTTGGGTTTTATCCTTAGGTTGGATTAAGATTTTATTTCTCATCCTGTTTTAGGTATTCCTCATTTTAGATTATATGTTATAAAAGAATTCAGGCTGTTGCCTGCGAGAATTAGCCACACAAGGCACATCAAGATTCTTAGGATTTCATCTTCATTATCCAAATTTGATTACAAAGTATTTGAGTGTTTCCAGTTGTATGATTATAACTGTTAGAATATTTACAATTGGTTTAATTATACTTTTGATCCTAATACTTTGGAATGGGTGAGATTTTGGTCCATTAGGATTGCAATCAATAAAAATAAGTTAGTGCTCTAGGTTTCATACATACAAACATCAAATATTGTAAATTTGTAATAAATTTCATTCCTAAGAATATAATACAAAGTCTTTATTTTCTCCTTCAATAAAAAGAACATCATAATTGAACAAGGTCTTAGAGCAGTACAATCCACCTTGACTCATCCCATCGCTATTCCACAGCCTAGTCCCCTTAAATCAAGAACTTTATTTTCATGATCTATCCTTCTAATCAACTATCTCTCTTATTGTGTTTCTTCTCCAATGTTTAGTCATCACGGTCATTTACTCCTTATAGTCCTTCAAAACACAAAGCCTTATTTATACTAATCACAATCCTAATTATTTTGGAGAACAAATCATGTTAAGATAACAATTGGAATAAATGTTGGTTTGTGCTCTAGGTTTTATATGCACATCAACATATGGTAATTCATACATAATACTACATCTGGTACTTTTATAAGAAACAATTTATAGTGCAAAATACATTATAACCTGTTTCTTGTAAAGGACTAGAGGTAGTTGAATATTATAGAGTCTCTCCTCTCTCCCCCCAATAACTATAACCCGATAATTTCAAATTTTTCAATGGGCCTGTTAGAAATCCTTTTTAGGGAGAGAGAGAACAATGGAAACAAAAGAATCAATCTGTTATTCCTTAGTAACTGATTTACACTGAGTACAAATGGAGTACTCTCCTTTTCTGTCACACGGGAAGAAATCCCTGCTTTTTACAATGAATTCTCTATATCCCCCTAATCACCCCAAACTGCCTATTTATGTCCTCTGTTCATAACAGAATTTTAACCACCTTTATTTGTTAGTTTTCCTTTCTTCCAATAATAAACCCACCAAACCTTGGGTCTATCTAATTGTGGATCTGCATTTACATTCCTAACAGGCTCCTTACCAGGTCTTCCACCATTCCATTTCTTTATGAGATAGAGAAAGAGAGAATTCTATCAACTTACTGAGTTTTTGAATAAAAAATCTGTGTAACTTGTTATGTGTGTTGCAGATAAGGAGTCTTGGGCAGTGTGACCCAGAGATCACAGAATCAAGTAAAGAAAGCAGCCTATTGCAAATGCAAGGTAAGGCAGCCTATCAAACTTGATGGATTGAACCCTTCCCATAATCCTTCACATAGTGAAAGATTTAAAGCATTAGGCTTCCAAGCACCCAAGTCATACACTATAAGCATATAAAAAATTCTAAAATTGAATTGCTTTCTCACAGAAATTAATGGAAACAATCTGTTTTAAAAACTCTTTAGTACATTAAAATAGAAAATAAATAGTAACTTGAGCCCAAAAAGCATGTTTGAATGTGTCTACATTTCTGTGTTGTATGTGTCTATAATCCATCCTCCTTACACAATAAATGTATCAACTTTGATTATGAGAGTTCACCACCATACCTTTGATTTAAGATCATTAATTACATCTGACACAGTACTATGCTTCGGTAATCTAATAGTATGATTCACCACCTGAACAAGGATAACATGGTTAGAATTTATAGCACTTGAGGAGAATTGTTTAAAAAATGAAAGTGACAACTAATAGAACTCACTTCATCCTTGGTAGCATGATGGAAAGCAATTTTAAGAGTTTTTAGGCATTGCAATTCAGGCAGAGGGATATCCAATACTTCATAGTATAGAATGTCAGAAATCTAGAAATAACACAAAAAAAGATAATTTAGCATATTGGAAGATTTAAGCAAAACCCAACAACTGTTTTTGAAGTCCATGCAACATTATGCAAGTAATTTAAATGCAACAGAATCTATTGCGAAACTTTTTCGGTTTGAACGGAGGACCTGATTATAGTGAAACAGCATGTCTGACAAATGTTCCACTCCACGGAACTTGATAGACTGTGGTTTAGGTTGCTGGGAGTAGCAGTTATGAGATGTGAGTCTGATTTTAGAAGGATCATTCAGACCAATATGTTGAGCAACTTTTTCGACAACATCATCATAGGTGTCAAGCTTTGACCTAGATGATCAAATAAAAAAATTGAATTGCCAGATATACTTCACCTATAAATTTATAATGGAGAGATAGAGAGAGAGAGTAGTAGATTCAAAATAAATAAAAACTAACAGTTCAAGACTGAATTCATCCTCCTTTGGTTTCTCCAAAATCCTAAAGCGAACAACCTGCATATCAAAGCAAAGTAACTTTTTGAATAGGTCAAAATACTTCATTGTAAGAAATAATCTCCACAAAGCAGGAATCTTTTGTTGCCACTGAGACCATAACTCTATTGAGCAATTAACACTTAGTCATGCTCATTGGTTGAAAAAAATTATTCCGTCTTTTGAGTCGTGTCATTAGATATAAATACCACTTACTCCATTTAATTCTATGGGTATTTTTTGAATAAAATTTCAAATTATGACATTATCAATTACAAGTAACTAATTTACTACTTTCATTGGACTTGATGAATAAGGTATTTGTTTTTTATACATAGGAACAGAGGTAGTATCTTTTATGATTTGTTTCCTTATTTCCTAGTTATCTCTAAGAACTAGTTACAATATTTCCTTATCTTATCATAATTTATTTCCTTTATTAGTTAGGATTATAATTGAAATAAACGAAGGTACTATTGTAGGTTTTATGAGTATAAAAAATATCATGCTTTAGTTTTAATAATCACAAAATGACTGAAAACAATGAAAAACTACAACTGATAAATTCTTTGAAAAAAAGGGAGTGAGTACAGTCATAGATGATTAAATTATTAAATTATATATAGCGGGAAAAATTAATAACTTTATGTCCTCTTGGATGAGAAACTAACTTTTTAAGGCAAACTAAATAATCAGGAGAACCCAAGGATAAGAACTCATATTTCACAATTGATGCAGTAAACTTGCTTCTTATTGCAGGCAATATTCAAATTGAGGACACAACAATTTAAAATTTATATAGCAGTCAACAAGTTAGAAGCCACTTTAAATAGTTCATACCAGACGGTTATGCACATATTCCAAGAAAGAAGGAACATCTGGATAACGATATTGCTCTCCACTTCCAGATTGGGGAGACTTCTGGAAGCAAATAATATCACCGTCCTCAAGCTGCTCAAATTACAACAGTTCAAGCAAAAGTTACAACTACAAATTTATTATTTATTAATATTCTAAACTTAAAATATTATAATAAGCGCATATTTGAAAGCACTGGAAATCCAATATAATGGTGGCCACTCAATGTATACCTGACTGTCACGGAAAGTGGATAACTTGTCAACTCGTTCACACATGACATGAGGTTCAAATTTTATCTCCTGAGGGTGTAATAAAGAATGCAAGCATTATTGCATTCCATTGATATTGCCATCATGAAACATAATTATACATGAGATGCAGATTGACTGACCTCAAACAATTCTAATTCTTCATCAGAAGCATATCCAGCCATTTCATTTAGTTTTACCAATATATCTACTGGCTTCCCGCTACTCATCACAAAAAGCCGCCCAGCATACCTGAGAAAACAGAGAAAAATACATTTTATAAATACAATGTAGATTTGCCTCGGAATATTTTATTAGTAATTGGCAGAGCAAGTACCGAAGCTTCTCATTTGAAGGTTCATAAATTTTAAAGAAAAGCAAGAGATTCTCTTTTGATTTCTCAGGAGGAGGAATTGGCTGCATATCCTGACTCATTGTGCAAGGTATAAATAACAAATCCATGTCAGTTGTGACTAAGTTACAATTGGAGAGAACAATATATATTATTTAATGGTAACGACCATACTATACAGGAAGATTAAATTATTGAGATAAACATTACCTGCCCCATTTCTATTTCCAAAAATAACTTCAGCTCCACATTATTTGCTTTATTGGACACTTCTCTTAGCAATCCAACCTAAAATAGTCAAAGTACCATAGCACAAACAATAACAAATGATTATTAGAAAAATAATCATAAAATTTATTGTTTAAAGGAGATATCACTTTAAAAAAATGAAACTTCCACTCTCACTGTCATCCACTTAACTTTAATTTTTTATTAGTAGGCGTAACAACTTTATTATCTACTGAGTGTACAAAATTATCTATTAGATTTTATAATATATTCTGTTGCATCTGTTATTTAAGTGTTAGTTACATTCAGTAACTATTTAATTTAAATGTAACAGACTGCTAACTCAGCATTCAGTAGCTTATAAATAGGTTGCCAGTCATTCAGTTTTGTGAAATTGTTTTCCATCTACTTCCTAATGTAATCAATTACTCTCTCTGCTGTATTTCTATTATTATCATGTCATGTTCAAATGAAATTTTGAAAGAAACAATACTTTATGTTGGAACTTCCAAAAGGTGGAAACCCATATGTCTGATAAATAGTTTACATTCATTAGTACATCCCAAGAATCATAGTTAAAAGTTCCATATATAAAAAATAAAAATAAAAAGTAATAAACAGCAGAATGGGTCTAAATAAGACAATACTAAACAATTATTCAATCCCACATGGCAGTATCGTGTGGCCGATTAGAATGGCACTACTGTGGGATAGCAGATAACATGATGGCAACTACACTGAAGATTTTAGATACAAGATAAACAATTTATACTATGCATGTATAAATGCTCAGAAACAAACAATATTTCCATAATTAACAGAATAAAAACACAGGAATGAAATTGAAAAAAATGGAATTAATAGATAAAAAATAGAACACGTTAGATATTTTTTGTGGGCGAGAAAAAATCAGGTTGGATCCCATTGGCCTTTTAAAGGGAAAGATGAAAGAGATAGAATTGGAAAATAAAAAGATAGTTTAATGTTGTGATTTATTGGTTATTTTCTTTATCTAAGTAGTTTTTTTATGTATATGTATTATATTTAATTCTAGATAGGGATGTAGGATCTTAATATCTTACAATCCGATTTATGATCCCCAAGTTAGGATCACTTACCCCTCTCCTTATCCTAGATAAAAATCGATTTTAACAACCTTACCTGTGGCAGTTTAAGGTCAGCCCACAACTATACGACACTATTGAAAACTATGGCTCTATTCCATCCTATATTATCAGATATCAGAAATATGTCCACATTTCATGTTTGCAAACACTAATTATATTATTATAATATGCTAAACAAGCAACCATAATATTGAAGAAAACAGAAACATAAGTCTTCAAAATTACAAATTACTAAGGTTATGAATAAAGTTATTATACTTGTTATCAAGCTTATGATGCCAGCCACCCTTCTATTTATGAAACACAAAGCATTGGATGTTCATTCATGATTCATGTACTTACTGATTGTTCTTCTTCCTGAGGTGTCAGTGCTTTATTTGGCCTGTATGTGTGGTTTTGGCGCTTTGCCCACAACCAAAAACGTTGATACTGGATGGGTATACCAAACTCTTTGGCAATTTCTTCCTGATAAAAGTTTTTTTTGGTCAGAAAGATAAAAAGTAAATTCAAAATCATTATTATTTTTATTGTATATCAGAAGCTAAATAGGTCACTGAACAATATCACTAGATGAGAAAGTACACAATGAACAAGATGCAACCCTGCATAGTATTTATTAAGCAAGGAGGGGTATGCCATTAGAAGTTTAGAATAACAGAATTAACAACCATAACATGTATGCAACAACAGTTAAGTAAACAATAAAAGCATGTAGTTAATAAAGCTGTTCAAACAAACTGACCAGTCCCTAATATAGATAAACTTTAGTAAGAAACCTAGCAAAAAATTATAGGTACCATATGTCCCACAATGAAAAATCTAAATAAAGTTGTTCCCTACTACAGTTACTCCAGTAGAAGAGATATACTTAAAAATCTAGTGAAAATCAAGTGTAGAGAGAACTCATTCAATGATCATAAAATGTCACTCTTAAACTTTTGTTAAATGCTATATAACATAAACCTACCAAATGGGTGATAATCACATGGTTAGCTGATGAAGAAAAACAAAGGTTAGAGAAAAAATGAGACATGAATTTCATGTGTCTAATTTACCCAATGGAGGCTCTATTTATAATGAGCCATAAATACAATAACTAAAAGTTACCTTGAATTACATAACTACAATTTGTATACAATTAATTAAATCTCATAATATCTCTAATTACAATATTTATCTAATTTCAAGACACTCCTTAAGCTGGGGCATATAAATCACATGCTTTAAGCTTATAACATATATAACAAATTTGAGGATCTCTCAAAAAAACTTATGGTAATATCCACCACTTGAACATTTGAATAGTGGAATTCAGCGCTATTGTCTCTAATTAAGATTTTTTCCCTAATGAAGTGACCTTCTACCTAAATGTGTTTGGTCCTCTTGGGTAATGTTTGATTTGAGGGAATACCGAGGGCTGCCTGATCTGTCACAAATCATTGTCATCAATGCAAACTTCCCCAAACCTTAGTTCTTTGAGAAAGAACTATTTAAAGCAAATTAGTTCACAAGTGGATAATTAGTTACTACATGATAGTTAGTTATATCATGATATAACCAAAGCCCATACCTTGAAAACAGTCAAAGGCATTTGTTTTTGAATACGAAAACTTTGCACTTTATCATGATCCACAAGATCGAAGAATATGTCTTTTCCGATCTGGTCAAGCAGATCTTCATCACGAGCAACCTGGGACCAACAGAATAACCTACTATTTAATCTCACCTTATTAACTATGCATACCAATATCATACAAAGCAATTAGAGGGAGCAAAAAATAACTAAGTAAACAATGAAGTTGTAACCTTTATGATAGTGTACAAGTGAGCCTCAGCCTTCTCCTTCCTCTTCATCTCCTTTTCTTCATGTTCTTTCCTTAATCTTATCTAACATGTAAAGTTGAAACTTGAAAGGGAAGCATTTTGACAAAGAAAATATTATAATTAAAAAAAGGCTTAATTACACTTGAGGTCCCACTATTATTATCTTCATTTTGCAAATTTGGCCCCTAGTTTTCTTTTTCACAAATTTAATCCTGTAACAAATGGTGCAATTTTGTGGAACTCTACTGCAATGCCACATCAAAATTTCTGTTAAATATTGGATATCAAGTTAAAAGATAGACCAAAATTGCACAACTAAAATAGTGGGGATCAAATTTGTGAAAACAAAATATGGGACAACAAAATTTGTGAAATGAAAATAGTAAAGAAACAAAAATGCAATTAAGCCATAAACAAAAAATAATACATCAATTAATCTAAAATCTTACTCTAAGGTGTTCAGCAATGTCCTTCTCGTCCACATTACAAATTATGTTATCCTTGTCACTTTCACGTATATAAACAAGCATATATGCATTTGAGTATTTTGTAAATTTAAAAGGAGAGTTGTTGAACCCAGGATTTGAATGAGGTAACTGTAGAAAAAAGAAAAATAAAATGAAGCGCAACAAAAAATGGCATGATGTCAAAAAAGGAAATTCACCAAGTCAACAAATACCAAGAAAAAATATATGCGACAAGCCTAACAAAGAATGCTACTTGTTACAGTTCGCTGTTGAATATACTTTTATTTAATTGTAAATTAGGGTGGTTACGATTGTAAGTTAGTAGTTTCTATTACCTTTATGTTCATCTTTTATAAAGTTGTTTTTGTCAGTGGAAATTATCTTTCATATTGCTGGTCCATCCATTCCGCAACCTTCGACAGTTGTCCGACGTGCCAAAAAAAGCATTTTCTCCTATGAATCTAGGGTTCAGTGTGCCTTGTTGAATGCAACCCATATCAGGTGGTTTCATAGCCATTAGAGGTCTCAAAGCTCTATTAGGCGCATACTCGCACCACTAATCGCTGGAACTCAAATCGCACAATCACTGTTTGCCTCATCAGAACTTCCAAGTCACTTTCCAAGAAGTGGGTCTCTCAAAAGATTCTTCCCTGAGTTGGTGGACTATTTTCTCCCTTTTTCCTTGGTTTCTTCTTCTATTCCCTTGGAATATGGCAGCTCCGAGCCTTGTCCTATCTATTTTTGGTACACCCACTATTACTACAGAGAAGCTCAATGGTTTATTTATCTTGGACCGCCTCTGTTGGACTTTGGTTCCTTGGTCAAGGATATGATGATCACCTTGAAAAGGAAGTTATTGAAGGATAAATTGAAAGTCAAGCTCAATGGAAGAAGCTTGACTTTCAGTTGTGTGCAATGTTGTGGCAATCAGTTGAACCAAATATTTTGGGAACTTTAACAACCTTCAAAACCTGCTGCTCTTTTTTGGAAAAAGGCTTAGAGCATCTATGCAAATGACATCCAACGTCTGTATGATGTTGCCCAAAAAATTGCTTCCCTCAAACAGACCAATCATTATATGGTTTCTCATGTTTCTGCAGCTCAAGCTTCAATTGAAGAGTTGAGGGTGTTTTTGGATGATGATTTCATTGGAGGGAATAAGGAAGAAACTTGATAAATTGTATATGGTGTTGATTTTAAGGGCTTTTCTCTCAAACTTAATCATGTTTGAGATCAAATTCTAACTGGCCATTAAATTCCCTCAATGGACAGCCTTGTCACTAGACTTCTCCAGGTTCCCACTTCAGTGAAGGGACACAACTCAGCCGAAGTTATTGAAGCTTCTGCAATGATTTCTACTTGAGGAAGTGGTGGTTGTGGAAACCGTGGAGGAAAAGAAGGTATAGATGTCGTCCTCAATGCTCTTATTGCAAGATGATGGGTTATACCCAAGAAAATTGTTACTCTCTTCATGGATTTTTGGAGAAGACAGTAAATCTGTCCAAATCTGAGGTGAAGGTTCCAGAAGATGATTATTAGGAATATCTACAATGGAAAGCCACTTATCAATCCCAACCATCCTCTACATGAGTGTTTCAACTGCTTGTGTTTCCCAATCATCAGCTAATCAAAGTCTTTGGATTATTGATTCAAGTGCTTCTTACCAAATAGTTGGTAATGATTTTTTATTTTCTCACATGTCCCTCTTAAATTTCCTCACTATATTAACCTAGCAAATGGGTCCAAAATTACTCCCAAAGGAAGTGGTCAAGTATCTATTTCTCCCTTGTTGAACATTAATTCTATTTTTATTTACTCCTGACTGTCCTTATAATCTAGTCTCTTTTTGTCAATTAACCAAGTCCTTAAATTGCTCAATAACATTACATTTACTACTGATTCTTTTGTCATTTAGGAACATGGTAAGTGATGAACGATTGGAGGATGACATGAATCCGAGGGTCTCTATTATTTGGAAACACAATCATTTGCGATTCTTGTTGTTTTGTCTCCAAATCTCTTTCACCATTGGACACCATATATTTGCACCAGATGATGGAGAAGGCATTGCCAAAGCATAAGGTGGGGCGTGAAGATTCCCGGGAGAGACAAGATAGGCTTGGGATGTGTTAGGGTTGGGTGGTCGAGGCCCCAAAATTCCATGGGAGAAGCTAGCAGGGTGAGGTGCAGATTGAGGTTGAGACGGGGAGGTAGTGTAGCCAAAAACAGGGTGAGTGATGGAGGTGTTGGCAGGGAAGAAGTTGTCAAGGGGTAGGGTGGGAACAAAGTTACTATCAAATCGATAATAACAAATAGAGGCAATGTGACCATAGCGATTGCAAACCTGACATTGAGTACCAGAAAACCTGCCACGGCCACGGCCATAGCGGTGGTTGGATCGGCCACCGCGCCCACCGCGTGCACCAGGTCGACCACCACGGAAGGAGGGGAATTGAGAATCTTGAGGGGAAAGATTGGCTTGGGGTTGCGAGGCAGGGGTGTTAGAGCTAGAAGAGGGTTCAAGAAGATTGAAGGAGATAAGATTCTTCTTCTTGAATTTCTCAAGGCGGGATTCATGGGCAAGAAGGAGGGTTTCAACCTCTTCGATGGACAAAGCATCAAAGCGGCTGCTGATTAGGGAGACCGTGGACTCATATTCTTCTGGTAGTCCTTCAAGAACAATGTCCAAATGTTCTTTGGAGGAGACAGAGTCACCAATGGCTGAGAGAGAGTCAACTAGGGTTTGAATGCAGAGAAGATAATCGAAGATGGTGCGGTTCTCAAGGGTGATGCTGCGAAGGTCACTGCGGAGTTGGCGGGCTTTGGCGTTTGTGTGGGCATGGAAGTACGCATGGATCTTGTCCCAAATCTGGAATGATGACTTGCAACCGATGATGCGGGTAAGCATATCCTTGGACATGGAGGATTGCAACCAGGAGAGAAGTAACTGGTCTTGCTGTTCCCAAGCCAGGTACTCTTCGGAGACGCGATCTGCATCTCTGTCGGAAATAGTGAGAAATTTTGGGGGGATTTGAGGATTGACCAGAAAATGATGAAGACGATGACCTTTGATGACGGGTTCAACTTGTTGACACCAAAGAAGATAATTCTTGGTGTCAAGTTTCTCAGAAATTGTATGGGCAAAGGTGAGGGAGGGAGACGGAGATGGTTTTACTGGGGCAGTTTGAAAGTGTGGTGGTTCTGTTTCGTCGGCCATGAGGAAAGAGCGGCAGCGAGAGGAAGGGGACAGAGAAAGAGGGGAGGAGGGATGAAAAGGAGAAGACAAAGGAGGATCGATGAGCTCTATGATACCATATTGAATAACATAATGAATTATGATAATAGAATTGAGAGAACAGAGAGAGAGAATTGGTGAAAGCTATTTAGTAGAGAAAGAGATAATATTTGCACTAACTAATTAACATTACAACTTGTCTATTTATATGTATCTATAGCTTCAAAAGGAAGCTAATGATACAATGACCTATTGAGCAGGTAACCTAACCAGAAAACAGAAAAAATAACTAACAGATAGATAACCAACTAATACAATGCGAAGGAGTAAAGATATACTCCAATAGAATGAAGTTGATCATTCAATTTTCTATTGCCATCCTTCTCCTAGGAAATGTTTATTTAGTTGTCAATATCGATGATATAGTGATTACAGGAAATGATGTTGCCAAAATCTCCCAAATTGAAAAGGCATTTATTTAGTCACTTTCAAGCCAAGGACCTTGGCTACCTAAAATATTTTCTTGGTATTGAGATGGGCCCAATCAAAGGAAGGTATTGTGATCTCACAAAGAAAGTACGCTCTATATATGTTGAAAGAAATAGGCATGACTAACTAATTGCATGCCTTTGATAGTCCTATGGATCCTAATGAAAAGTTAATGGTTGATCAAGGTGAACCATTCACCAATCCAACGAGATAAAGAAGACTAGTGGGGAAGCTCATCTATCTTACAATCACAAGACCTCATCTTTCTTTTGTTATTGGGGTTCTCAACCAATTCATGCAGGCCCCTCATATTGATCACTAGAATGCTATTTTACGCATGCTTAGATATATCAAAAAGACTCTTAGACAAGAATTGTTATATGAAGACAAGGGAAACAACCAAGTTTTTGGTTACTATGATGTTGATTGGGCATGTTTTCCTATACACAAACACTCTACTACAAGATATTGTGTGTTTATTGGTGGGAATCTCATATCTTGGAAGAGCAAGAAACAAAATGTTGTGGCTCAATCCAGTGCAGAAGCAAAATGGAATCAACATCATATTATTCAAATTTGATTTGATCCTCCTTTATTTTCTCCTTATCTTATCTTTACATTTATTTTGCAATTAGGGTGATTATGATTTCTTCTAATCATCTCTATAATCCCCTTATGTAAGTTTGGTCAATGTACAAAATAATGATTTTTTTCTTCTCTAAAATTTCATGGTATCACAGCCAATGGTCGACTAGGTGACTGACTCAAACTGGTATGATGGAAATTGAAGGTGGATTCGAACATATGATCCCTGTATTGAAAGTTTTCTTGATGGTGGATCCACATATGAAGCAGAGTCTTCCTGGTAAAATAAAAGGTTAGGAGACATGTCTCTCTATCGCAAGTTAACAATGGAGTGGCAATGCAAGTACCTAGAGCATGACTAATATCTATGGGCCAATATTTGGTTATACTCGTGGACTAACTTCTACTGCAAGGGGTTTTAAACCATGGTCCTTTGCTTGAAGGAAGGATTGTTGAGATACAATCAAAGACTTACATTGTTAAAACATGAAGATGGACATGGGTTTATAAGCACACACAAAGTCTCCATTAGAAAGAGACATTCTAGGTGATGGTCGAAAGCAAAACCATGAGGTTAACAAACCAATGTGGAGACAAGTGTGTGTGGAAACCTCCGGTACATAACTAGTGGTTGATCTTTTACTAAATTCCTACATGATTTTTTTTCTTGAAAATGGCATTATGCAACAAAGTTCATGTATTGAGTCTATTGACACTCCTCAACAAAAAGGAGTGGCTGAAAGGAAAAATAAGCACATACTTAAAGTTGCTCAAATCAAAGTAAACTTGAACCTAGAGCAAAAAGTGTGTTTATTGGCTATGCTACCAACCAAAAAGGATACCTTTGATCTTGTTTCCAAGAAAACCCTTGTTTCTATGGATGTTACTTTTTTTTTTTTTTCAAAAGGACTTTTTTTCCCAAAATCATCTTCAAGGGGAGAAAAGATGCAAATGTTGTCCAATATTTTCAAACTTCTGATTTGCCTATCTTACAAACTTTACAAAATTCAAATTTATTAACTTTTGATTCCATACATAAAGAAGGAAGTTTAGAGGCTCAAAACAAGGGTGAACCAAGTCACCATAATAAACATTTTAGAAACTGTTTCAGAAACTGAAATTTCAGATTTACAAACTATGCCAAGTCCTAAAATGATTGAAACTAAATAACATGAGACAGCTGCAATGGGTAATAAAGGTGTAGAACCCTTTGATCTTGTCTATTCAGAAATAAAAGACCTCAAAGAATAGAGCCAAAAATGATCCCCAAGACTCCCATGAATCCAAGGAACCATCTAGTAACAATTTTTCTAATTTTTTCCAACCTGTTCAAACTGTTGAATCTGTCCTTGATGATTCTAACTTTCCTATTGCTATTAGAAAGGGTCTTAGATCATGTACAAAGCATTCTAACTCAAATTTTGTTCCATATCAAAACTTATCCCCTTCGTTTCAAGCTTTTTCTTCTCTAAAATTACAATTACAGATGCCATTTTTGTCAAAAACACATATAGGTTGATTTCAATCAAATTATATGTTAAATGTTTTTAATTTTTTTAATCAACATTTATTTTAAAAAAATTACCACAGTTGATTTAATTATTGTACAATTCATGTGTTTTTTTTTGTAACAAATAACAAATAGCATGACTCCCCAACAAATGCTTATAGAATATTACCTCTTCTTCACCACCGTACTGTTCTTCTAAAGCCCTCTTTGTATCTTCTTTTGTTACTCGTTCATCCTCAAATTTAAACCTGCAGCCAGTTAAATCAGCACCAAACAGATGATGAAACTTTCAAATATTAAATCAGCAGCAGACAATCAAACATGGTTAAACTTTTACCAACTAATCAAGGTACAAAGAAAGTTTTAAAAGAGAATATTTAAATGTGACTGAATCTACAACTGTGACTGACAATTCCATTATTAGCTAGAGATTAATTAAAACAGAAACAAACAATGAACTAAGTACAAGGGAAAATAAAAAATAATGCCCTCCAAATCATTAAATTAATTTTACAAAACATTAAGAAAGTTTCATCAATTTCCAAGCATTATCCTCCATACCTCCAAACATGATAAAATTACAATAGAATAAATTTGATAGCAATGAAATAGAATGAGTGAGTCGAAGTGATTAATTAGTCATGTTTAAAGTTCTAGAATCATTAGCACTGTAGCACATCAATAAATATGTCTCTTATTTTTTCATGTTTCATAGAAGCCAATATCGACCTAAATAATCAATAACCAATTTTGTTTCTTTACTGGTTTAAGGACAAATAAAAAACAATGAATACAGTGAGATGAACCTCTTAATACATAATACATTTATAAATACTGAATGATTCAAAAGAGCATACCACTGATTTGATAGTGTTGGCCTGATATAAGCATAGTAGTGTCCACCATGCACCCCACTACTGTGAACCAAAACACTGCAAACAAATAGTGAAGACAAGGTCCACATGGATATTAGCAATTTGAGGCAAAACTATTAGTAACAGCAAACTGCTGCACTGCTCATGGCTACCCCAACTTTTAATACTTTGCCTTTCTCTCTCCTATTTCCCATAGGACAGATGGGGTATCCCACATCAGTGTTTATTTCCTCTTCCTTTTCTTCTCCTCGACCAAAAGGTTGAAATTTAGTTTCCCTTAATACTTCTTTTATTAGAAAAAAAATTAAGCTTAATTCAATTCAAAAAGCTAGCTCAAGAGGGAAGGAATGCCAAGTCTTATAAGAACTACTTCAGCCATATTCCTAGCAATTGTGAGAACTTAACATCTCTCCACCAATTTTCTTAACAGAAAAACAAAGACTTGGAGAAGGCAAGTACATGCAGAATGTTGAAGTCTAATTGTTGTCTTTTTAAGCCTAAAACAGAACTGTCACTAGTGAATTATTTGATTTAGGCTAACTTGTTTAAATTGATAGAACATGAGCAGAGTGACAAAAAATAGGATAAAAAGGTTTTAACTTTCAGTCTTTGTTACACATTCCTGTTAAGGATTGGTAAGACTTGTGGGTAGAGTGCAAGTGAGCTGTACTCCACCTTTTACCATCTAATTTTTATGGTACTGAGTATGAAGTGGTTCTTCTTTCCAAATCTTCTACCATCCCATTTTCACCAATTCAAACAGAAGCATAACTGTGGTTTCATGATGCAGCATAGCATGCAGTTGCAAAAGGAGGCATTGCATAGTAAAAGGTTGCTAACACAGTAGATACATTATTTAAGATACCTGTGAAGTGTGTAAAGATTGCGAATACTTCTGTCTGCTTCAGGAGATAGATACTTGCCATTATCCCTATCAAGATCTAGTTGCAAGGGGAACTCATATCGGTCATTGATCTGTTGCCAATCAAGTTAATGGTCATGACAGATAGAGGTGGCAAAAAGTAAAAGAAAAATTTACAAATGGAATAATAAACAAAGAAAAAGATTATCATCCATATATTTATGCCCAATGGAAAAATAAAATCAAAACAAAACACAGAAAATAAATTTGCATCTAAGACAGAAAACAACTATATTGTATGTTTCAACTTTCAATTAATTGCAAGTTAAAATCACTTTGCTTTAAGTTCTAAAAACAAATATACAACATGATACTGGACAAAAATTCTGGTCAAAGCAAGAGACAAACCCCAAGATAAGAATAGAAATATTATAAGAAACAAACATCACTGGATAAAGGTCAAACACAATCCCAAAAAGGACAATAATCTTTAGAAATTTAAAGAGGGTCAAACACAACACCAAAAAGAACAATACTCTCAGAAATTTAAAGAGGGCATTAAATGCAGTGCATCGTACGTTTAATAATAAGCCAAATGTCTTTAGCTGCATAATTTACAAGAAAAAGGGATAACAGCAACTAGCAAAGCATAAATGGTAAGAAATAAAGGCTTCCTTTGTGATCCGAATAAAAAGTATAATGCCAATATTATGGAAAAAAAAACTGAAATTTATGAGAAAGTCAAAAGGCAAAGGATATTTTATTGGTTCCTGATACTAACCTTTACCATAGTGTCTCGTGCAAAATCATACTCAAACCGTTTTAATTGAAGCTGAAGAACAGGTGGGAAATCAATGAACAACACACCCTTCCTAGCATCCTGAAAGTGTAATCATAATCATTTTATAGGAAAATAACCATCCTAAAATATGAAAATCCTACCAACAAAAGGAAAATGTAAGCAACTAATCAAAGAGTAGTCAGTAACCATTCGAGCAAAAAAGTAACCATAAAAAAACAGTTAACAAAATAGAGGGAGATCAAAGTAAAAAGGTATATGTAGATAAATAATCCACATAATGAAGTCCAGTCTGACAACAAAAAAGCACGGTTATACCTGTAAACCATAGTGCTCAGCATGATACTTGTTATCACCCTCAAGTCGTTCCACTTCTACATACTTATCAAAAGAAGCATACACATCCTTACAGCCTTTGACATCCAGCTGAAGATCTAATATCAAATATTCAAAATTCCATAGGACTCAAGAATATATGTGAAGTAGCAAACAACAGCATCCTAAAGGCAAAAATGAATACCATAAAATGATTCTTTTCTTGTTGATTTATAGTCCACATTGATGCATTCAATATAGTTCATATGGTGGCCTTCAAACAATTTTTGTATAGCGCCTTCAACAACAGTTCCCTAGCCAAGAAGAAACCTCAATAAATAATCTTCAAGGCATCATAAAATATACAGAAGTATATAGAGTAAAATCTAATTAACAAGACAAAAACAAAGTAGCTACCATGAAAAATTCAGTACCTTCATTTTGTCTTCTAGCTTTTCACAAAGAACCCTATTAAGTTCTTGGACATCATGCTGCATGAATGAATCATATGTATCCCATCCAAAAGACTTGGTTAACTCTTTCGTAGCTACACTAGTGTCACTATACTGCAATTTGTAAAACAAACTTTGTAATGCCAGAGGGATGCTCCCTGATGGCATATCATTTTCAGTTGTGGGCATATGGTACACAGCCTAAACAAAAAAATTTATACATTAGTTGTTTCCCTTTAAAAAATATAGACCTAACAAAGTTATATGCTACTGCCTAACCTTTCTGAAATAAGAAATGTGGTACAATGTTTGAAGCAGAGAATTCATGTAACAAGTAGCTCCTTGGTTTTTCAGTCCAACATAACCAGTTTCCTTTTTTGAGTCATGTGACCAGTAATTAATATCTTTACGCACAGCAATGTCGGCCTCAACTATGCATGTATCATTTACAAGATAACCTCTAGCAGGATCGTACAATTCAGCAAGTGGCATGAAATTAACGAAACCCCAATCACTCTCCCGTGCATTGAACTGGTGTTGTGATTCTGAAATATAAAAATGCAATCAAATTTATTTTTCTGAATGAGAAAAGAGAATTTTTCTGAATGAGAAAAGAGAGGCAGAGGGAGCAAGGGAAATGCACCCAAAGAAGATAACAAGATATTATCCAAAACTTGAGTGAAAAATAGAGACAGAGACAAAATCCAACATAAATATCTACCTCCCTGAATATAATAGAGAGATATCTAGTAAAGAAACAACATATTTTCATACAAGATTTTTTCACAGATCATTTTAATAATCGATTAAAGAACTATTAGATTCAGAAGATTTGAGAACCAAAACAAGATTTGAAAATTTTGTTATTAATTTCTAATTCTCTACAACACAGATCAGTATTTATAGTGTACAAGAGGTAATGCAGTTACCAGCTGACAAACAGAAAGCAACAGCTAGTAAAACTAATTCTGCTGAGCTGGCTTTTAACTAACAGCTAATACAATGCCAAAGTATTATACAGAGAACAGAAAACCATAAACAATATGTACACTACCATCGATCATACATATAATCAGTTAATTTCACAACTGAATATGTGAAGTTTTATGTTTCATATGTAATGTAAAAGGATGTTATAAGATAATCTATTTATTTCACTTGAATTGTTTTAAAAAAATTATTCTTTTACTGGAAAATTATCACACAAAAAAATATATGGGATTAATTGTAGTAGTTGGTTATGTATTTAAATTAATCAATTGTTGGAGACAAAAATGAAAAACAACAATAAACTGAAAAGTAATTTGTTAGCTTTTAATCATAATCTCAAATTTGGTTTATCACAAAAAAATCTTTTTTTTTAAGATTTGGATAATAATCTAAATTAACACTAACAGCTTTTTCAAATCAATCAGAATATAATTTTGAAAAATAAATCCATCCAACTATGCTCTAACATGAGAACCAAAGACAGAACATAAATACAGGGGAAAGGTGAAACGAAAAGATTTTAATTCATTGGTTTCTTGAGTAGTAATAAGATCACTAAAAGTGAAAGCTCCAAAACCAATTGATATAGATCAAATATAAAGAAGATACGTTATTTTTAGGAATAAGGCTTTGTTGTTCATGCTGTATAAAGAAGATTAGACAATAGCAGCATGGAAAATCCTGTAAGAAAGAATATCCCAAACAGAATATCCTCCCAAAGGCTGATAAAAGAATATCCCAAAAGTCCATGTACCAAAAGAAACATATCCGAAAAACTAAAGCTGTTTCAGTAGAGGAATTAGGAAACACTTGTTGCTTTCGTTTTCTATTAATATTTCCTGAAAATGATTTTCATTTTCAGATTTTCAAACTTCAGAAAACACATTTATTTTATGTAGTTTTTATTAAAATTACAAAGATGCCAACACAGTTTAAGGGGTTATTTGCTCTGGGAAAACTTTTTTCTATTTATTTTCTATATGCATACATTCACATGTTTTCACGACTTCCTATACAAATCTTTGAAAGAAAAAAAAAAACAAACAAATTTAAAGCGTGACAATTTTGTGAATATTTTCCAGTATCTCAAATTTTGAAAAGGAAAATGACTATTCTTATTCGGGAAAATAGCATGAAATATTGACAAAATTTCAGACACTTGAAGCATCTTCCAAATGGCTCTATTCTTTGTACACAAACAAAGTACATTCATGATCTATTAAATAAACAAATATGTTGAATGCAAAACACATAATCACCTATGTTCTCTGGGTCTAAACTATCAAAAACAGGTTCTGATCTACTCAGTAATCCTTCCGTGTACAGATCAGTTATTGGGGCTCTGCAATATCTTACTATTATTCACCCAGAATTTAGTTTTGTTGTAAATAAAGTTTGGAAAATCATGGCACGGCCCTTGGAATCACATTGAACTGCAGTTAAATGTACTCTTAGATATTTGAAACACTTTTCACTGTGGTTTGCAGATTTATTCAGCCTCTCCAAAGTGACCACTGTCTCTCAAAGCCTTTTGTGCTGCTGACTGGGATGGGCAGAAAATCCAGATGATCAACAGTCTGCCTGAAGAGCTTCCAATTATCTTGAACCTAATATCATATCTTGGTGATCCAGAAACCTGCTCGATCCAGCACTGAAGCTGAATATTGAAGTCTTGCTCAAGTTACTCATGACTTATTTTAGATACAAACTAAACTAAAAGAATTGAGTATCAATCATAGTTAGGAATCGAAATAGGTCATGCCTTAAACAGAAGCTTATGCCTTGACCTCTTTAAAGTCTGGCCTAGTCAGACTGACATGACTTGATCGATTTAATAAAAAGGTCGGACTTAAACTTTTAAAAAAACCTATTTATTTAAAAAGACTGGACTTAAGGCTTATGAAAAACCTGTTAGGTCTGATAAGTCAATATATTTATCTATGATATAATAAAAAATAATATATATATATATATAAATATATAACATTATTAACAATATGATTAAATAAATAAATTTGTAATACAAAAATTCAAATTATCAATATTTTTTACATTTCTACTACACTTAAACATTTTATATTCCTTATTTGTATGAAATCAAGATATGGAAAATAAAAACTTTAGTAGCTACATCTTTGCCTATTTTTTTTCTTCATCTCCATGGTTGATTATTTAGAATACTTCAAATGTGATATAAGAAATATTTAGAAAGTTTTCTATAATAAGATTATCTTCTTTATTATAGCCTGTGCATGAGTGTACATGAGTATACATGAGTTGTCCCTCAATTAGTTTTTAATTTTTTTTAATTTTAAACTAAATTTTAATAAATGTAAATTAAAAAAGATTTATTGTGTAAATTAAACAAAGACTTGCACATGTATTTAAAAATATAATTATTGATTTATTTAAAATTAAATTTATTGGCCTATTTAACGTTATTAATGTAAAATAGGCTTTTAAATAGACTAATTAAAAAATAATTTTTTAAATAGACTAATAAGTCATATCAAACTTTAAAAAAGTCAGACAAGACTTAAAAAAAAAAGTCTACAATAGATAATAAGTCAAGTTTAACTTTAATTTTATAGAACAAGCCTGGTCTATATATTCAAAATCTGACCTGACTTGACATATTCTCACGCCTAGTCATATCTCACCAACAGTGTTTCGTGACAATCAAAGTTTTGTTTTTGGCACACAATCCAGTTGTTCATGGCCACAGAAAAACATACAGAGATTGATCTATTTTTTGTCCGAGAGAAGGTTCTAGCAAAGAAACTTGTTGTACTACATATTCCTGCTCAAGATCAGTGGGCAGATTCTCTTACCAAGCCTTTATCTCCCACTCAATTTCTACATCTGAGAACCAAGCTCAATCTGCTTGGTCCCTCTTTTGACACTCGACCCCCTTGAGCTTGTGGGAGGTGTATGAGTATATTAGTGTAACTAACTAGCTTCATTTGGAAGCTAATCAATTAAGTAACTTTTCATATAAGCTGGTTGTAGCTTCTAATGAAAGTTGGATGTAGCTTCTTGTGTAACCTAGACAGTTGGTAACTTATCATGTAAGCCATAGAGTGAATTAGAACTCTTCAGTATAAATACCTATCTATATTTATGATTGTAAAACATCTCATTATTAGTCAATAAAATTTAGATTTCCTTCTCTTTTTCTCTCGACTTCAATGTGGTCCATCAATTTGCTTCTACAATAAAATTGTAAATCAGGAACTTATTCACATCAACTAATTAATAATAATTAAATGAATAATTCTTATATGGCATCAAATTGACATGATCTAATCCCCTTTAACTTTTAGGTCTACAACAAAACTCCCTAGCTTAAATTATTTATTGTGCACAAACAGAACCTTGGTATAGGTTCTCTCAAACATATAACACCCCGTATAAGAGAGGGAAATATATATCCTCTGTTAAGAGAAATCTTACAATGTATACCAGCCACAAAGAAATTACCTTTTCTGTATGAATATTTACTATGAATTTGATTAACAACAGTCAAGTTGAACTGGGCATATCTACTCCAACCATAAGGTAGTGTAGCTGAATCAGCAACATCGACATACATCGACAGATGGTCAACACTGTTCCCCCTTGGAAATATTAATATCCGCCTGCTCATTTCAATTAATGTCAGTCAGAACCAACATTTATAACAAAATGATAACTTTGCAACTGTACACATAATCATCATTAGACAAAGATGTATAGGGGTAGAAACGGACATACCACTTGTAGCCCCCTACACAGAATATGTCAGAATAGACTTTTTTGGGCATCCTCGAAAAATTGTCAATGGTCCAAGTGAATCTCGCAGATGGTGTATCATCCACTGTTGGAGCATCTGCAGTAGTTGTGTTTTCTGCTTGGGCTGCTGCTGAAATTGAAAGGTAAAAAAGAAGCAAAACAACAAAAACAAACCAAATCTTCACTCAGTTATGCCAAATATTAGAAAAAACAATTCACACATAGTTAAATGATTGTCACTTTCACACCACCATATGGAAGAAAGAATCCAAATTACTCATTTATCCTAATCAAATTGAAGCACCACTTAAAACAAGACTTCAACCCAAGCCCCAATAACCATAGCAACTTCAGTGCTTCTTGACAACACATAACATTAATACCAATGAAATAAACAAAAGACAAGAATATCACCATCCACCATTGTTCATTTTAAACTCAAATTCCTGTTTCTAAACATCAGTAAAGGATTGCACCTGCCAACTCCTGTTTGCACCAGTGTTACTCTCTAGAATGGCCTACTTTGTTCAAATCAATATTTTTCATTTTCACTGATAATTACAGAAATACCAGTTTATTTTCACTCCAATTCCTGTTTCCGATCATTTATATTGCATTCATTCATTCAACCAACCTTGTACACTGGCACTCACCTTAGGTGAGATAGACATAAACAAATATACATCAAGCTTGTACTTCAATAGCAACACCACTCTCTAAGGACCTATTTGGCTCCAAAAAATGTAAATATTTTTCGTTGCTAAAATATAAAAATAAACTAAATTCACGAATAATTAAACAAATAAATTCAACCGACAAGTGCTAAATTATAATAAAAAAATAAAAATAAAAATAAAAAAACTAAATTCACGCTCTCATTCACTGAGTCTTCTAAAGCAAACATTACTGAAATTCTACAATTACCTTCCATAGGTTGAGGACCTTGGGGCAAGTCAGAGTGAGGAACCAACATCTCTTCCTGTTCCTGTTGCTGCTGCACACAACAATATCAAACATCAAAAACCCTAGCAACCATCCAACAGAAAAATCGCTGAGAAAAATTATGAAATGCAAGAACGGTTATATGATGATTGTAGTCGAATTGAATTGAAGCAGAAGCGAATGGAAGAACCGATTACATTCAATGGCGGAGGAGTCATGAGAGTCATTGAATTGAATTTGAAACGAAGAGACACAGAAATTCATAAGAGAAGGCAGAATTGTAGTATATAGAGAGAGGAAAGGGTGAGTGAAGTGAGCGCTGTGAAGAAGCAAAGCGTGACTTTCCAATATAAAGAGCACTCCAGAGGACGTTTCCGGAATTTCGTAAAATTAAAACTCCTTTAACCTTGTATGGAGTTTAAAGAGCCAAATACTCTATTTTTTTAATCAAAAGTTAGAAATCACTTCCTCCTATCATTTATAAGTTGTTTTTACAAATAGGATACTTTTTTTTATTTATAAAATGCCTACTATTATATATATATATATATATATATATTATTGATGGGATCGAAATAACTCTATATTATATTTAATAAAAATATTTAAAAATTATCAATATTTATTGAATCAACTGATGTTATACTTGATGTTTAAAACTCAAGATTGTTGATTTGAATCTTGGATTTGTAAAAATACTTAACTTTCAATATTATTTTTTATTATAAAAATGTAAGGGTAAAATTATCTATAAAAAAAAATGTGTCCACTAAATTAAACTATAACTTTTTAACTAGTTGAACATAAGTAAGTTAATGTGTTGAAATCAAGATCAAATCTTACGGGCAATATCCAAGTTTGATCATGAAAATAATTCTTAAACAGACTTTATTTACCTCCTAATCAAATTAGATTAGTCTAAGGCTTTAACAAAATATTAGAGTATTGATGTAAAACCAAAAAAAGCTATCAATTTATATATATTCTAGATTATAAATAATTTATATCTATTATAAATGGGATAAATATGTAACTACTTTTGGTCTTTATTTTTTAGTGGATCATTATACTCCTCAAATATAAAAAAAAAAATGATATCATCTCTAAATTACATACAACCTTCTAATATTCTATCTATATATAACTATTAGAGACACGAAATATCAGTGTAATTAAAATTTATAATAAATATTTTATATATATATATATTATATTTAAAAATAGTATACATAAATATTTTTAAATACAAATTATATTTTACATTTATGATAAATAATTTGTATTGTAAAAAAAAGATTTTTAGTTATTGATAATTTATTTTAAAATATTAATATTTAACTCATAAATAATTATGATAAATAAAAATTAAATTAAATAAGAAGTTAAATTTTTTTTGCAAACTCTCTAGTTAAAGAAAAATTCCTAAAGCATTCTCACGTGAAATATAGGTTGTATTTAATATATAAGAGTTGATTTATCATTTTTTTTAGTTAAATTTTGTTTCTACTAATATTTTAACATGTTTATTATATGTAATTAAATTTTATAATAAATTATATATAAATATATATTATATTTAAATATATAAATTATGAACTCTCATATGAGATAGAGATTTGTATTTAATATATAGGATTGATTTGTCATTTTTTTAGTAAAAATTTATTTTTACTAATATTTTAACTTGTACAATGTACAAACATGTTTATTATATATAATAAAATTTATAATAATTATATATAAATAAATATTATGTTTAAATATATAAATTATAATTATAGGAAAGTTTTTTTTTAAGAAATGAGTTTATAAGAATTTTTTTAACTTGTTATCTAAGTTGTAGATTATACCAATATGCATGCGTGTATTTTTGTTTGCACAATTTTAATAAATATTAACTGAGTTATCTTATATTATATTTTATAGTTATTATTTTTCTTTAAAATTTATGTTTTCATTATGAAAAAATAAAATGACTAATATAAGTTATAAAAAAATTATTTGAATATTTAAATTTGTAGATTATCAATAAAAAAAATTAATAATAGGTGCAAGAAAAATTTATTTAAAAGATCTGTAATTTTTTCTTATGATTTTAAATTAGTTTATATTTAGTACTAATAATTTAGTTTGTGTAATACAGAGGTTAAATGTTTATTATATACTACTATTTTAATGTATATATTTTATGGGCTAAATGTTTTTTATATAATTAAATTTTATAATAAATTATGTATATATATAAATATTATATTTAAAGATATAAATTATATTTAAAATTTATATAAATAAATTTTATATTTTGACATAAAATTATTTTTTATTATTAATAACTAGTGATTTAATTTGCATAATGCACAAAGTTAAATATTTATTATTATATGATAGTAAAATTGAAATACTTTATATCTCTATATATATTTTATATTTTATATTTTTATTTAAATTATTTAAGTTACTGAATTAAAGACGTTTTCTGTTTTTTTAAAATACACATACGTTAGTGGAAGTTGTTAGTGATTATTAAAATATTAAACAAATATATCAAAAGAAACTTTTTTAACTTCTATTAATTATTATTATAAACTTTTTAAAGATTAGAATTTTCAACAATAATAAGTACACTTAAATATATCATTTTCTATATAAATAGGTATAAATAAAAAGTAACATTTCTATTGAACTAATTTGTCTATTGGTATAGACAATATATTTTTATTATATAGCAAAAAGATATTATATTTCTTTACATTATTGTCTTGGAGAGAGAAAAATAGAAAATCAATATTTTAAAATTGCAGACATTGAAATTGAGAATTATACAGAATGCAAATAATAATAGAGGTGGATTATTTTATTTTTTATTTTATTTTATTTATGAAAAAACAAGATGTTGAATAACTATATTATATAAGCAATTATTTTTAATTAATATTTTATTTTATTTGTGAGAATTACATTTATGGTACTTTGTAAAATAGAATAACTATATTGCTATCACTTCGTTATACAAGTTCCTTTCAGATTTTGAAAACTTAATACACATTATTATTTGCTTATGCATTCGATTCAAATAGCAACATGACAAATTAACTTGCTTTAAGATGGTGATGTGTGTTCTTCTAACTCATTTTCGTTTCTTTCAGGAGAAAAGAATTCATTTTCATTTTTTTTTAATTTCGTTGGAAAAGGGGGAGAAAAACTAGAATACCTTTATCTCCATAATTGATGATAATATTAATTAAAAATTGTTTTGAACAATATTCCAATATAATTATATCATGTACCAACTCTTATTTCACTATCTTTTATATTAAAATACATAGATGTTTGTGCCAAGACTGCTGGAAAATTAAGGTCGAGCTATTGTTTTAGACCTAGGTTATCATACATATGAATTCAAAATGAAGATGATATATACATTCATGTTTGAACTTGAAAGGTGGAATACTTCTTAATTTAGCAGGTATATATTAAACCTACTAAACTATGGTTGTGTTATTCGATTTATACGTGTATATAAATTTATTGAATTTGAATAGAAGTTGTTGGTTCTACTTGTAATCAAATATAATTAAGTGATATACTAAAAAAACACCATTTTACTTTAATAGGATTTTTCATTGTCTTTTAAGTCATCATGATTTATGATCCTATTTAACTTCAATTTATTTTAACATAGTTAAATAAGGATAAAACTTATACGCATAATTATAAATGTGATTAGTGTTATTTTATAATAAAATTGAAGCTTCATCTCAATAAAATTTAATAAAGAATTTAATTAAATATTAACATGAAATGTTAAGATAAAAATCTAATTTTAGTCTCAGCAAAGCAGAAGAAAACCCCTGCCAATATTATGTTACTAAAAAAAATATAATTTTAATAATAATAAATAAAAAAAAACATTACCAACATTTATATTTAAGTTTTTATAAAATGATTAAATTTGTTGATGTAGTATCTAACAAAAACAAAATCATGCTGAGGATCAAGAATTTTATGAGATTTGGGGTTTTGGTATATTGTTTATATATATATATATATATATATATGTGTGTGTGTGTGTATGTGTGTGTGCACGTGCGCGGGAGAGAAAAATTTAAATATATAATAATTGAACTTTGTCATTAAAATATAGGTTTATTGGGGATTTTAAATTTAATTTGGAGATTCCAGATTTTTTTTTTTGAAATTGCAATGTTGAACCTTAGAAAATTAATTTAATATTTTAACTTTATTATATCATATGTGGTATCATAATGTTTGATTATCTTTATATATTTTAGAGAGGTCAAGACATTTCATATCACTAATAGTTATACATAGACAAGTTATTAGAAAATTATAGATACTTATTTAGATAGGATATAAAAAATAAAAAAAATTAATTTAAAAGATATAATGGTCCACTAAAAAGTTGAGATCAAAAGTAGTTATATACTTCGATCTCCTTTATTTATATATATATGATTGGGCCCAAAGTGTCATCTAAGGTTGTTAGAAAATCAACCTTGTCACGATTTCTGTCCGTTTTCGGCAATAAGCCCAGCCATACGAACCTAACATTCCTATTTGGGCCTGTGTTATTATAATCTTGTTTATAATGATTGGCACAAAACTTGTTTATTATGATCAAATTAAATTATCTCAGAGACTTTATCAGCATTTTTTCTTATCATGATTCCAACAAAATAATAATAATAATAATTTGGTTACTTTTTATATATGTATGTGACTAATGCGTTACAACATGAGCAGAGTGACAAAAAAAAAGATAAAATAGTTTTAATTTTTTATCTTGGGGCCAGTTATCCCACTCTTTAAAGTGTCTTCAATATAGCGAAAAAATCAGTTGACGGTAAATACTTTAGGGACGAATAAAAAAAAAATGTGACTAATGCGTCACTGAGGTAGTTATTTTGTATTCTCCAAAAGTATAATATTAGAATAACATGCGCAAGTTTTCATGCATGTAATCACGTAATTCTAAATTTTTAATCCCTTTTCATTCATATTTCTTTTTTAGGCATAATAATCGATATTAGTTTATTAGATAACCATTTGTATTTGTTAATAATTTATTAGATAACCATTTGTATTCTTTTTCTTTATTTTTTTTCTTCAATTTATTTGACAACCATTTCTTTTTGTTTTCAATGAAGTCATTGGTTTGGAGAAACAACAATTGATTGTTATCCTTATATCCTGAATAACATATGTTTTGTTATTATCAAGCTTTATGCATGTTTCATTTGAAAGACTATTTCGCTATACATTATAAAGTTTGAGATTAGAAAGCAATAAAAGGAGAAAAAAAAATGCTTTGTTTACGTGC